TCCAAACAAGGATAGGAGAGTACTAATGCATTGCACACCTGACATAATAACGTAGTAGAAGGATAATAAGAAATATACTGGAAAAAATACTGAAGTCTACAAAACAGACATTCTCGTGAACTGATAAACAGAAGGTGTTCACACTGTTCCCATTGAGATTTGCTGCCAAATTCCCTCTGTATTTCAGGCCTTGAAAGAGCATTTGAACTAAAACCTACTATAGCTGGGAGATATATTTTACTCATTCATGATCCAGGTTCTCTTAAACCAGTGATTCTCAACCTGTGGGTCTCCAAATGTTTTGGCCTTCAACTGCCAGAAATCTTAACAACTGGTAATCTGCCTGGGATTTCTGGGAGTTTTAGGTCAAAACAGTGGGGAACCCATAGGCTGAGAATGACTTTCTTAAACCATCTGGATAAATAATATAATAGATGCTTTATAACATTGTGAAATCCCAATGGCACCCAAGTATGTACACCATGGCCTAGGAAATATCCATGGTATTCTTAGGCGTTGCAGGTTTTAATCCAACACACTGAAGCCTGAATATATTTTAAACTTTGATGGGGAATTCCAACTGAATTCCACAGTGAATCCGTATTCTATGTCTATCCCTGATCTAATGTTGATCGAGAACGAATTTGGCTTTAAAAGTCCTGTCCACTAAATTGAAATTGAATCCAGACAAGACAGAGGTACACCTGGTCAGTCGCAAGGCCGAACAGGGTATAGGGTTACAGCCCGTGCTGGATGGGGTCGCACTCCCCTTGAAGGCACAGGTTTGCAGCTTGGGTGTGATCCTGGATTCATCGCTGAGCCTGGAGCCCCAGGTCTCGGCGGTGACCAGGGGAGCATTTGCACAGTTTAGGCTCGTGCGCCAGCTGCGCCTGTACCTTGGGAAGTCTGACTTGGCCACGGTAGTCCATGCTCTGGTTACATCCCGCTTAGACTACTGCAACGCTCTCTACGTGGGGTTGCCTTTGAAGACGGCCCGGAAGCTCCAACTGGTCCAACGTGCGGCAGCCATGATACTAACAGGAGCGGGACGCAGGGAGCATACAACTCCCCTGCTGTACCAGCTCCACTGGCTGCCGATCTGCTACCGGGCTCAATTCAAGGTGCTGGCATTGGCCTATAAAGCCCTAAACGGTTCCGGCCCAAGATACCTAACTGACCGCCTCTCGGCCTATGAGCCCACGAGGACTTTGAGATCTTCCGGGGAGGCCCTGCTCTCGATCCCGCCTGCATCACAGGCACGGCTGGTGGGGACGAGAGATAGGGCCTTCTCGGTGGTGGCTCCTCGGCTGTGGAACACCCTTCCCGTGGACATCAGGCTAGCCCCTCCCTGTTGATATTCCGCAGGAAGTTAAAGACCTGGCTGTTTAAGAAGGCATTTGATCAAGAAGTGCAATGACTGGTAATTTGACCATAGGAATGGAACAACGGACATGATATCAGATTGTGGGTTGACGATGAGATGATTCGGAATAGCTTTTGTAGTAATGTTGATGTTCTGATAAGATGTTTTTCTGATAATGATGAATTGTGGATTATTTTACACTATGTTTTGTAATTTGCTCTGGTTTTTCCATGTTGTACACCGCAATGAGTCGCCCTTGGGCTGAGAATTGCGGTATATAAGCGCAATAAATAAATAAATAAATAAATAAATCCCAAATTACATTCAACATTCCACATTTGCAGGTTTAGCTTTGAGAGATTTGATGATTCGCAGATTTGATTAAAATGTTCTTTTTCAAGGAATCTCTAGGTTGTCTGGTAAACATTGCTCATAGTGTCATGCAAAAAGACAACAGATTCCCAGAGGTGCTCTCTCAGGTAAAAAAAAAATGATAGGTTTTTATTTACCTTGCTGGGTTACAGGTCTTCTGCCTGCAACCCTAGCAAATGTTGGCTGTATATTATTTCTATTCCTAACCTAAATTATGTGGGTGTGTCTAATGCCAGTGTCAATTGACATGATAGAAGGCCACAATAAGATATAACAGATCTGGATGACTGATGTCATCCATTTTATCAGACATTACTGATAAAGCATGGCACAGAACCATGGACTAATAAAAGTTCCACCACAAGCATAACATTCAAACAGCTTCCTTTCTCTGAGGACGGAATCAGGCATAGAAATGTATCTGAATACAAGGAAAAGAGACAGGCACATTTTGATTTTTCCGCTAGCCGAATGAAAACCTGTTATAGCATTTCTAGTCAACAATGTATTGTTCACTATAATTTGAGCATATAGAAAATACAATAAATAAGAAGAAAACTAAGTAATGCTTAACTAGGAGGTTAAACAACATTTCTCACCAAATATCTGTCTAAAACATGTTTTTCTCTGTTTTCACAAGACTCTCACATAAACGGTTGATCAATTGGAAAGAGGAATGGAGAATTCCAGGCACTATGATTTTTTTCAGTTTTAACCAACATAAAAAGGAAAGCACATAACAAGTTTTGACCTAAGAAAATACTAACATATGTATTATATATTTGCATCTATGAGAAATGTAGAATATATTATAAATCAATTGTGAAAGGATGAAAGGATCCACAAAAGTAGGACTATGTAGATATGATACGTGCACTCAAACAAACTTCAACTTTTCCCTGCTCTACCAATTGTTCCCTCTTCCTTCTATGCAACTTGTATGTTTCCTATGGAAAAAATGTGCACATATTTACACACTTTCGAAATTATGCCAGTGGTTTGCATTCACCTCCCAACTGACTAGAAAAATTACATGCATTCTTAATGCAAGTAGTTTTATATTCATGTTTTCAAAATATGTCAATTTTTCTAGACACGGTTTTCAAAATTCTGAGATATATTCCAGCTGCAAAGTATGTCACCTCTATATTTCTTTCAAGGGGATGCAAATCAGATGGAACAGATATCCCAGCAGATCAGTACTTAGAATAGAGGAAAATACATGTTTCTCACTTGAAATTGCATAGGACCATACATTTTCTCTCCTAGTTCGCTGGAGATCAAATTCATGTAAGGCTCAAAACTTGGGTGGGCAACTGTGGAAGAAGGAGGAGTCAATTCTAATCTTGAATCCTATCCCACTGCTAGAAGGCCCCACTGATGTACCAAAGCCCAGACCTCTTACAACAGCAAAACTCTCATGATTTTTCTGCCCAACCTAACCCCTCCCCTACTGCAAAACAAGGCACCCACAAATCTTGAAGCTCCTAGAAGCCAAAAAAGAGGGCAAAATAGAAACAGAAAATCAATAGCATCACTTCAAGTTTTGACTTATTTTGGACTGTTTGTTTTGGCTTCTGAGGTTTGGGGTTTCCAGAAATGTGACTTCTGGTAGTTGGGAGGCAGTACCACTACAGTGATTCTATTTTATCAGAGGGGGGATTGAGGGATGCATGTGGCCTATTGGCCATGCTTTACCCAGTCTTGGTCTACATCTTTGTTTCACACAAGTCTCCATATCTTTCAAATTCCAGTTTCCACCCACCTTACCTGTGCTCACTAATAGGTTTAATGGGCAACTTTGGGGCAATATAAGAATTTGGGGCCTTTATTCTATTTTAAATAAGTAGAGGGGCTCCCTTGTGGGATGTAGTTGGAAGTAGGAATTTGGATGACTTAGAGGTTTTGCGTACACATAGGCAACTTTATGGTAAATGGTAGTTCCCAAGCCCAAAAACCCGGAGGTTCAAGCCCCATGATAGGGATTGGAAATAATGTTAGCAACCAACTTTCGTCAGTCATTCAGAGATCTCAGGGATTGAATGTGAATAACGTGGGATAGCCATACAAACACAAACATGGGTGTGGGCCTGGAGAAAAGATAATATACAGTCTTTAAGGTATGGATTCACTCCGGAAAGTCACACCTCTTTATTTAGTGTTTAGTGTACAATGCGCTTTAGTTCTGGAAAGACTATTTATCATTAGAACAAGACAGTTACCTGTGATTTAAAAGAAAAATACAATTCCTAATACATAGTCAAATTGTAAGCAAATGTTAGCAGACTCATGAACACAAGTTGGGACTTACCTTTTGCAGACCCCGGCTGGAAAGATTGAGAGCAGTCCATGTGAACTTACCTTTCCGGCTCCTTTATGAAGACATCTTGCCACCATCATCCTTTCTTTGTCTCCATTAAGATGAACACAATAGCAAAATGGGTGGTGTCTCAAACCTCATTTGCTTTATATGAGTAAGGGCCACATTCAACGTTGTTCATTAAAATTAAGAACCTATTCCTGGAACCAGACCTTTGATGGCTTCATTATATCAAAAGTTGTTTCCTGGGGTTTTTTTGTGACCCTCTTTCCAGTTTTTCAGCGGTTTAGCTAGAAAATAGGTATGCTTACAGCCCTCACTATACAATCTTTTGATATATGACATATACCTTATGATGTACATTGTAAACATTTCCCTATATTCCAGTGACAATATAGGGAAATAGGTTGGCTGTTTTTCCATGTCGAGAAGCTAGTGTGAATACTAGCCCAGATTACTTGGTGCAAGAGTGTACCACAAACAGACAACTGTTAAAAAAATTATAGAAGCAAAAGACTTCAGGAATTCTATTTAATAACTTTTCAGCTTTTGCATGCACTTACAATAGACTAAAAACTGAATGTTGTGACTGAAAAACTGTAAGAAGTGAATGTACTTCATTTACCAAAGCTCTGATTATTGTCTAGCACATACAGTTCCATCTGGTTGCTATAAAAAGAACATCAATAAACCCCTTTTCATTTGTCTTTAAATATGAAAACAGAATGCACTCAAGCACTTTCATACCAGATCAAAGGAAGAATAATTATGCTCCCCTTTATTCAAATAATCTGTCTTTTAAAACTAGTTTCCTAGGAAGCTGATGAGCCATCTCGGAGATTGGTATACATGTCCAGAGTTAGGCTCCCAAACTACACCCAAGTAATACACCAAGGACTTCCAGGGCTTTGCATAAAATTCAATTTAGAAAAAGTTAAGACTCACGGTCATTGCACTGGTTCCCAGAGTATGATGTCATGGAACAGTCACAAGTGAAGCCTTCCCATTGCTGGATGCAGATGCCCTGGTTGGCACAGGAATCTTCTTGGCAGGTGGTGCTTGGTCCTGAGATGCAGTAGTCAGAAAATTAAAAAAACAAAGAAAAGCAATTGGAAAGGAGTCATAAAAATAGTCCGTGACTCGTCATCATCATGCACCAAGGAAGTAAAGGAAACCAAAACACTTTTCCATTTCAAGGACATGCAACAAAAAACCAGGACACATAGAAGACACAGAGAATTGCACACTCAGCAACAAAGAGAGAGCTGTGGCACACAGGAGAAAGGTGTGAAAGGTCGCATATTCCCTCCTAGGCAGGCTCAGAAGAAATGTTCATAACATCTCAAGTTTGCTCTCCAAAGTATCAAGGCCCATCATACCCTGATCCTCCAAGTTCTCCCTCTACTATTTGACTCCTTATCATTGTTTTTTCATCAAGATTGGAATGGGACATGGAGTTCTTTGAACCATCCAAGCATTTCTTCAAGGAGATTTGGAAGATGAGAGAGGGACTGACAGCCCATTTGGGCAGTAAAAGCCCATTCCAGTCAAAGTCTTTTGAAATGAGTTGGACCTTTTTTCTGATCTACCTCTTCCCCTATCTCTCATTCCTCATTACAACTCTGTAAGCATTTTCTCCACCAAAATGATAAGAACCTTAGATCTACATTGGTGGTTCGTTTCTATGATAATCGCTGCAGATTTGAGGATTCCAAAAGCCATGCTGGTGTACATGAACCCAGTCATATTTTTAGGATTCACTTCTAACTTACAATTTTGTATGCAGTTGTAATAAAGCATATTATGCTTTATTTTCCATTAATATTTGTTTCTCTGATGCAACCCTGCATCTTTGAAGAATGAATCACAAGTAGTGGAGATACTAAGAAAAGCAAGACACATCTCCCTCCCTAATCCAAGGCTCTGTAACATCTGGATATAATGTATGAGTAGTATGCTTTGTGCTTCATCAATCAGATTTTTTTGCTCCCTCTTACACTATCGTGGAACATTAAGTTAAATATAGCTTATTTTACAGCTGTATGAAACTCAGCAGATTTGAAAGAATGGAGAAATGATCTTCACCTCTCCATCAACAAAGAGAAGGTTGCATGTTGTGTTAACTGATGATGAAAAAGATTCAGAAATACAGAAATCTGTCTCCTCAGCAATTTCCCCATAACCATCAAACAAACAAACAATAGATAAATTCATCTTGTGTGTCATTGAGAAAATAATCAAAGAAAAGGAGGGAGGGGAAACCTAGTGCCTTAAATGCAGAGTTCCCTTTAGTGGATCTAGAGACAAAAGAAATTTCTTCTGAAGGAAAAGGGAGGTTGTTTTTATCTATACTGGCAAATATATCTCCCAAAGAGTGTTCTAGAGGGTTTAGGTAACCATCAGAACTGTATGGGAGGCAGCATGGGCCATGTGGTAAAGAAGGAATTGGCTCCCCCCCCCCCCCACTTTCTTGCACTAGTGTAGAGGTAGGCAACTATCATGGATTTGTGACCCAATTATCTTCCTTGGGGCATTCCAAATGTTGTGTGGACTGTGAAACATGTCACAGCAAATTCTGTAAGTTATTGAAAGTCCATTTCTGTTTTGGTGTGGGTAGAGGAGGGAGAAATACTTCCCCCACAATATGTAACAATGAGCAATTTCTCCAAGCTATTTAAAAGAGAATTAGTTACTCCTAGTAGTTTCCAGGTGAGGCAATTTACACACACACACATACACACACACACACACTTTTGTGGGGAGAATAAAAGGGACAATCTAGGTATATCTGGAGAAATCAAGGCCTTGGGTACAGCCAAATTCTTAATGGATCAACTAGTGTTCCCAGGCCCTCACTGAGTAGCAGACCCTGTGCTGAAAGAAAATCTTGTACCTTGCTTTCTCTCCTTCCCCAGTCTCTCATTGAATTTCACATTGTTTGTGTTTAGCATCAATTTTGAATATGTTATATGAGTAATTCAGTTTAAAAAATTACAATCCAGATACTATTCCCATGGAATTTGCTGGGCTGAAAATAGGTTCATGCATGAAGATTTTTGTGTCACTATTGTGTTCTACATTTTATTTATTATTTTTCTGGGCCATAACTCCTAGAATAGCTCACGCTTTAACACAAAGGAAATGTTCCAGGCCCCTCTGCTCCTTAATTGAACCTTGGCCATGTATTGCATTGTATTGTATCGTACTGTATTGTATTATATTTATATCTTAGTTTTCTGTCAGAATGGGGCCCCAAGTGACTGTGAAGGGCATTTTAGTTCCTTCTGGAAATGGAAGGGCAAATCAGGATCAGTAAACATAGAGATCTAATAGTATGCTGAAAACAAAGAGTTTGGGGGATTCTCTTGAGGTCAGCAATGGTATGATATATCTGCTGACTTTGAGGAGATGTTTTTAAAATCATTTTCTATATTTCTCATTTGCCCACCCTCTGTAATACCATTATTTTACTCAATTTTAGGGTAGGTCATAATTCCCAGTATTCAGATGACGAGGTAGGCTATATGGACTATATCAGTTTGAAAGCACATTAGAAATCATGATTCAGTGCTATGGCATGCTGTGATTTGTCAGAGGTGGAAAAGATTTCCTAATTTGCCTTACCTTTTAACATCTATTATCAGGAAAATTGTGGTGGACGTGAAAATTCCTTATGAAATACAAAAGACTCAAAGATCCAGAAAAGTGTGTGTGTACTCTTATGGGGTTTTCTTGAAAGCTACCAAATTACAAATATACACACACTCCAGAAACATAAGTCAAGTTCTAGAGTTATTTAGGAGTTTATGGAACACAAAAGCTTTCAGAACATATCTTTAATGATTCTCTGGTGTGTGTGTGTAAGGACTCTTTCATTTACAAAAACAGTAACATTAGCAGCCTGCCATTCCAATAGGCCAATGTGAGTGGTGTCTGCAGGGTAGCTGCATTACAGGATATTAACACACCATGGGGTAGGGGAAACAGATCTTCTGTTGGTTCCTATGTAACAAGCCTCAGGAAAAGACTGCAGGTAAGAGCAATGCTACCATCTGCCTGGATTACATATACATTGCCTCAGAGTACCTCTCTCTAAATATCAAGATATTATAGCCACAAAATTGGGTGCTCTAGGTTTACTGAAGAACCAGCTTTTGGCTTTTTCCTTCTTGCTCATTTTCAAACAATACAAAATCATTTTCTCTCTCTCTAATGGTGGCATACATTCCATTAGATTGGGTTCAAACTAAACACTCTCTATATCAACTTCCGTTACCAGGGAGTGCACTACTACATTCACATCGGAGTATCCATACATATATATTCCAAAACCAAAGAAGGGCAATTATCCCAGGTCCATGGGACAACTTTATATCATGGAACCCTCTGAGGTTCACATAATCTATAGAAAAATAAGGAAAAAATCTGTCATGATCAGAAGTCCACTTCTGGTATTGATTCTAGATATTGTTATGTTAACTGCAAGGAGGGGGCTTTGCAGCCTATTTAAAAAGCAATCTGTTACACTAAGAGGCTTCCAGGAACGCCCCACCCCATCTTTTTGGGAAGAAGAAAAGGGGGGGGGGGGTTCTGGAGGAGCTGTGGGCCACAAAAACACCCTCAATGTATGCCCTCTAAACTCTTCCTGGAGCAAATTTACTACAACATCTGGGTTGCTCCCTAGAACATTTTTCCTCAAGCAATGTGGTGAACTCCCTTCTTTGAAGCTACTTAAGAATGTGCAGATGGACATCTCTTAGGAAAGATTCAATAGTATATTAATGCATAGCAGGAGGTTTAACTAGATGGCCATTGCAGATCCTTCCAGCACTATGATTCTTTAGTTCTACTATGCCCCCTCCCCTCCCCATTTGTCATTCACATGTCACTGGAGTGATAAATCTAACCTGGATTATAGTCAGGTTTATCTAAAGAATGAAATCTATTTTGAGGGTAGGGTTCAATACTTTGGATGGTTCCTTTAAGGTTCAGACTAAAATCAAGAATGGATTCATCACTCCACTGACATGGGAGCTACTAGCTGTTCCTGTGTATTTCCAAATATTTCATAAATGCATGAAAATTGTGGAAGATGTGAGCATGCACAAAACAGCAAAACAACACAATTCCAAAAGAATTAGCAGTCAGATCACAGGACATGTGGGTGTACAATAGCATATTTACATGGCACTATTTTATTTAAAGAAGCAGATGCATGGTTTAATGAAATAATAACTATTATTATTTCAGAAGCAGAGCAAGCTGCTGAGAGACTCTGGCACTGTCTAATCAAATGAGCTTATTTGGCTTGTTCCCACTGGTTTGTGCTTGCACTTAAGGATGTAAAATAACATGCAAAGATGAAGAATTTCAAGAGTTTTTCCCCTGCTGGTCTTTGTACTCCCAGCACCATATCTTAGGGATGGGGAGCAAGCTTGAAAAATGCACAAAACCTGAATTTTTAATATTTTTGTGCAAAACAATTTTTGCAAACTAAATAAATTTCCACATACGGAAAATCTCACAGCATTTGACTTTTTTTGTCTATATGTTTGTCTGATGTGGTGTCTTAATTTGTTTCTTCCCAATGTAAGTTGTGAAATTGTATATTTGTTGTGTTATTGTATATTTTTGATAATGGGTTATTACTTTTGATGTAGATGTGAGTATGTTTTGGGTCTGGGTAGGTTGGGTTATTTGTCCTGGTCTAGTGTTTATGGCATTGAGTGTTTGCCTATATTTGTTCTTAACTGCCCCGAGTCCCCTCGGAGAGATAGGGCAGAATATAAATAAAGTTTTCTATTGTATACATTCATGTTTCCTAGCTTTTCCTTATATCCTACAGAGAAAGCATTTTTAAAACTAACTTCTTTTATGTTTTACAACTTTGTGATCACAATTTACACAGCTCTGAACCAAATATACTCTTAGGACTACATGGGCCATGTGGAAACAAAAAGTGTCTGGTTTTATCAAATCATGCCTTGGTGCACCTTTTTATTGTTGTAGCTATTGCATCTTTTTTGGTTTTATGGGAGTTACAGTTTTACAAGGTCTTTAGCTTT